TTTTTGATAAAATTTTATGGACTGACGAGTCACGTTTTGAAAGAACAGGGATATTCAATATCCATAATTCACATACTTGGGCTGTTGAAAACCCCCACCAGTCAAGGCCGTCGACATTTCAACACCGTTTTAGTGTGAACATGTGGTCAGGAATATTCAATATGGAATTTATCGGTCCATTTGAACTGCCGTCAAGGTTGGATTCGGTAGCCTACAAAAGCTTCCTTGAAAATAGCCTACCATTATTGCTGGAAGATTCAAGCCTGGAAGCCAGACGGAACATGGTGTTCCAGAATGATGGTGCACCATGCCACAACGCAACGATCGTGCGAAACTACTTAAACGAAAGGTTCCCAGACAGATGGATCGGACGAAACGGACCGATACGATGGCCTCCACGCTCCCCTGACCTCAACCCCATTGATTTTTTTGTTTGGGGATATTTTAAAGACATAACATTCGCCCAAGAATGTGCAAATGAAAATTCATTGAGGAACAAAATTCAAGAAGCGACACATGTGTTGAAAAACAACACACAAGCATTTAGAGATTTAAAACAAAATTTCATACGTAGGTGTACACTGTGCATTTCTGTTAGAGGCAGACATTTTGAAAACCTCTTGTAAATAACATAAATGAATAATAATCTGCTGTTCAGTAAAAATCAAACGTGTTTTTGTGGTTTTTGCAAATTTTTTTTCCGAAACTAACAATTTCTATTGAGCAGAGGGTTATCCAATTTTGGGTTCGGTTCTATTTGAGCCACAATTACGGTAGCATGTAGTGAAGCTAGGTTGATGAAATTTTTACTGTAAATAGCTGATACCGTAAGGAAGTTTTTAAGATACTTACGAATAGTAAGAACATGTTTTTTCAATTTTTTATAAACGTTCAAAGTTGTTGCACTTTTTTACTTTTTTGTTATGTTCGAAGATTTTGAAAAAAATTAAAAAGTAGTATTAGTTACATGACTTGAATGATTATATGATAGTTAAGCCTTAGGTCTTAGCTACATAATCGTGAAAAAAGCAGGCATTTATCACAATTATTAACGAAGTTATGGTAAAAATAAACACAGAACTCAAAAATTCTCGAAAAATCCGAAAAAAAATCATAACTCCTAAACTAAACAAAATCGGACCATATATATGGGGGTGATTTGGGTTCCTCTCGATGTGGGGAATCTAATTTTTTTTTTATGACGTCACGTGTTTGGCCACCCTGTATATATATATATATATATACTATATATATATATCGGTCTCCGCATCCAAAGCTGTTACTGCACAGATTGAACTGAATAAAGATTTAAAATCTCTAAATAACATATGAATAGCACATAATTTACAGCTGAATCCGAAGAAATAACAAGTCATGATTTTTGTCAATAAAAATAACAGACTTGATCTGCATGGCACATTTTCAGACTCTGATCCAAGATATACAAAACATGTTAGTCACTTGTGCCAGGTCTCCTATATAACGTGTTAAGACAACTTTATCCCAGCAGGATTATATTATCAAAATTTATGAAGGTCAAACAATGTGAAGCTTTGATCTTGTCTAAACTGGCTTACTGTGATTGCATGTATGGACCTGCCCTTTTGCAAATAGATATTTTACGCATTCAGCGAATTAAAAATTCTTGCATCAGGTTTGTATATGGTATCCGAAAGTATGCCCACATCACTGAGAACTTTATGGATTCCTCTTATCATGATTAACATAAGAAAACTTCATTTTCTCACATGAGTACATAAGATCGTTACTGGTAGAACACCTACTTATGTATACAATAAACTCACCAGACTGCCTGATAATAAAGTAACTCGCAATAAACATCTTTTGTTTATTCCTAAATATTCAACGGCTCTGTTTAAGCGCAGCTTTTCATACAATGCTGCGAAACTGTATAAAAGCTTCGCAGTAGATATCAAGAATCTGAGCTTCCGCAATTTAAAAAAAAGATAGAAAGCTGATGCGCAAGTAAGGAAATGTCCCACCCAGTATGTTTCTTTTTAAGGCGTCTTGTTCTTTTTTGCAGGAACTGTGTTCTCATAACGACTGCATTGTCCACGCTCTCGCATGTTCTGTTTTCTATTGATATTATGTTTCATATACAGGGTGGCGCATCGAAAACGATAGAGACGCATTTACTGGCGGTTCAGTTTTTTTTGGGAAAAACACTCAGACCCGTCGATTTTGTTATCGAGGGGACACAAGTTTGGTAAAAAATCACGTTAACACGTCCAGCCCCCTGGGTAGGGGTGTCACCAACCCTAAAATCTTAAATGGAAAGGTGACTCGAGTGATACCTTATTTTGAAGGTATTTCAATTCCGTTTATAATGATGTAAAATACATGAGCTTCAGTTCAGTAGTTTTGAAGATTTATTGTGTTAAAGCTTAAAGCAGACTTTAATAGGTAGGTACATCAGATTAGTTTGTACTACTTTCAGAAGAAATTTGACTACTAAAAGAATTTACTTAATAAGTAATTATCATGGTACATTCCACAGCAGAAAGACTTGAAATTTTCGAAATATTTTTCGGAAATAATCAGTGCGCTAATAGATCAGCAGAAATATTTAATGAGCGACATGAGACTAGTAACGTGCATCGAAACTATGTTCTAGAACTTGTAGCTAAATTTCGGGAAACTGGGTCAGTCGCCAATAAAAAACGCAACATTGACAATCCCATAAGGAACGAGCAATAGAATTGGGGGTTTTAGGGCAAGTTTATGTAGATTCTACGTTGAGTACCCTCAAATTGGAGACTGTGTGTGGTGTTAGTCGACGTACTGTCCAACGGACTCTAAAGGCCCATAGTTTTCATCCGTATAACATTCACCTGGTACAAGAACTTAATGAAGACGAGTTTGATCGGCGATTACAATTTTGTGAAGATATCAGTGAACGAATTATAAACGATGAACCTTTTCTATTCAACACTTGCTTTTCCGACGAATGTTCCTTTTCTTAAATGGCGTAGTAAATCGTCATAACTGCCGATATTGGTCCTATTCTATTCCCAGAATTTATCATGAGGCTCATACACAGCAGCCACAAAAATTAAATGGGCTGGTATTTTTGGCGATCATTTAGTTGGTCCTTTCTTCTTACCTGGAAATTTGATCGGTGAAATGTATTTGGAATTACTGGAAGACGCCATAGATCCTTCGTTAACAGCCATAATTGAAAATCAGAATGATCGGCGGTACATTGCGAATAGGTTGATGTTCCAACAGGATGATGCCCCACCGCATTACGCATTACATGTTCGAAAATATTTACATCAGACATTTCCAGATCGATGGATTGGTGGAAGAGGTGCCATTGAATGGCCCCCAAGATCGCCAGATTTATCACCTTTTGACTTCTTTAAAAAGCAAAATCTATGCTACTCAACCAACATCATTAGAAGACTTGCGTCAAAGAGTTGTGAATGAGTGCCTTTAAATTACTCCTCAAATATTGCAAAATGTGCGGCAACGTTTTGAGCAAAATCTTTATTATTGCATGGAGAGTCATGGTGCCCATTATCAACATTTACTTGCCTAACGGGTCAGTTCATTCTTCATTTTTAAATTACTTTGCTGCCAAATGTATTGATGTCCACTAATGGTGATGTATTTAGTTTTATTTAAGCTTTAAGAGGGAAAAAAACGACACACGAAGTCCGCAACAAGAGCCAACCTACACATTGTAGTATAATACGGCTTCTCTTTGTAGATCCTTGGGGCTTGAAGTACCACAGCAAGTGGCTATAACCACCGCGTGGTTGTGGTTAGATGTCTCCTTGAAAATTCGAGGTCTTCTAGCCGTTTTATACTACAATGTGTAGGTTGGCTCTTGTTGTGGACTTCGTGTGTCGTTTTTTTCCCTCTCCCTCTTCGTTTTCTCAGGTTACACCCGTATCCGGATGTGTGGGCATGCGTATCAACCTTTGTAGTTCCATATGTGCATTCATTTCGGGCCTGATGAAGCCAACCAGCAGAAATACGTATCGCTCGGGTTACCTATCCTATTTTCTGCTCGAATCCAATTTCCTCCTTTTTGCGGATGTTCCCCATTATTTTCCTACTCTTTGTTATATATATATATATATTATATATATATATATATATATATATATATATATATCAAAGAGTTCTTGCACTTTGTGCATGCTTCAAGGCAAAAACGATGAAAACATAAACACACTTTATATTTACAATACCTTTCTTTGTTCCAGTATCACGATCTACAATAGACAAACGACCAGCAACCAAATTTTTCATTTCGTTCCAAAAGGCTCACGTTGCTTCCCAGGAGAAACCGCTCTCCAGTGTTCAAATCCTTTATGCATGCACTGACAGTCATTTTCTAAATGTTCTTCCATGAAATTGTCACTTCTTTATTCATTTGATGTGCGACCGATTTTACAGAACGTAGCAACCAGGACGCTTAACATATTGCTTGATATAAATTTAACAAAATCAGTTGCTGAGATTTCAGCAGACTGGCGGCAAGTGGCTTGAATTTTCATGGTGCAATCATCTCAAAGCGCTAAAGACCATTTTGTTACAAACGAATAAAATGAGAATTTTTTAAATATCACAATGTACGTAATTTATTAGCCAATGAAGTTTGTTCTCCTCAATACTCCCTGGAATAAAAACTGAAAATTACTGCCAAAAGTTATTTTGTTCTTTTTCAAATACAGAAAACGCTCTTCCAGCACCAAGCGATCGAAAAATCAACTCGAGCGGTGCTCCCAAGGCTAAGCGTGCCAGAACGTGTTACGCTACATATCAACTGGTACAACTGGAAGAGGAGCTCTTCGGCAACAAGTATCTGAGCCGACTAAGACGAAATCAAATGGCACATGATTTGAACCTCACCGAATGTTAAATCAAAAGAAGGAATAGGAGCAAATAGGAACTTCACGTATAGTCTCGTTTGTATAGCAGTCGCCAACCTATCAGTGACTCTGTCCAAGATCCCGCCAGACAAATTCTTACCACTCAGCCGCCTCATATAGATGGAATTTACACAGCTGGATCCCAGACACAGTTACAATCATCAGCAAAATCAAAACAACTACCAGCACAGGAGGATGAGTATCCTGTTAGATGGAAAATCAATATTTAAGCGATATAGGTGCTTCTGACGAGTTTGTAAGTTTTCTGTCCTCTTTATAAATGCCGAACAGGCATTGTAATCTTGTTAATTTTCACTAGAAGGTAGGGAAGAATTCGCCAACCAAGCCTTCTTATTGCATACAATAATTCAATTCGATTTTATATTCATGACTTGCAAAGCGCATTGCCGACAAGTCAACATGGTTCTTCCCAAATACTTTTGGGTTATTTTTGGCATACTAACTGACTATAGTAAGAACTACTTAGAATTAAGATGTATGCGTGTGTTTGCTAAACTCTTTGTAGTTTTTACTGTAATATAAAGTATTTCTTTTCTGGTTTATGCTAAACCCATAAATTTGAACAGGAATGCGTTGGTTATGAAAATAGCGAATTGAAGTTGCTAGTAAACTTAGCAATGGTGTATTCATTAAGTCAAAATCAAATTGAGCATCATATGTATAGAGGCAAATCAACGAGATTTACACTGATATTCAGCGCGGAAGCCTCCTAGCTTACTGAATTCACTTAATGTCTGTAATTTTTTGTGTGTGCGCTAAAGAGCATGTTGTTCCAAACAAACAAAATGAGGATTTTTTGGATATCACAATGTATTTTGAATATCTATTCGCCAATAAGGTTTGTTTTCTTCAATATTATCTGGAACAAAGATTACAAATCACTGATGAGTAGCCAAGCTAAAAGTCGTTTTGTTTCTTTTCAGATACAGAAAATAGTCGTCCACCAGGTACAAGCAGTCCAAATCCAAACGCGGGCGGTACTCCCAAGACCAAGCGAGCCAGAACATGTTACACTTCGACTTCTACAACTGGAGAAGTAATTCCTTGCTTAAACGTATCTGAGCCGACCAAGACGCAACCAAATCGCACAATACTTGAACCTGAACGAACGTCAAATCGAAGTCCGGTTCCAAAATCGCAGGATGAAATACAAGAAGGAACGAAAGCAGAAAACGTCATCTCCTACTCTGACATTTGCTTCATCCATTCGTCGTCCCAGGAATTTTCCTGAATTCTTTTTTGTTCTAAATTCAGTAAGAATTACTGAGCATTGAGTTGTATGTGTGTGTTTTATAAGTCCTTGTAAATGGTGAATTGCTGTATTACGTGGCACATCGTTTATAAGAATTTGCAAAACAATAATTGGATGTATGTCAATTTGAAATACATATTTTGAATTATACCAACTTTATCACTCCCGAGTCAAATTTGCAGCATAAAAATAACACATGTTGCAATTACAGCGTATCAACCTATTTTCATTTCAATGCAAAATAAGTCTATAACGCATAGGTGGCTGTGAACAGAAAAGTGAAATTTCCAGCATCCATTATGGTCTGGGGCAGTATGTCATCATAAGGATTAGGAAAACCTCACTTTATTGATGGAAATGTGGATACAAGCAAATATTTGGTAATCGCTTTTACCAGTGATGGAAGAATGTTTGACATCTGGCCAAGATTTTGTGTTTCAGCAAGATGGTGCAGCGTGCCATACCTCAAAAAAGGCTATAAAATGGATGGAGGAAAATAATGCACCACTTTTGAAATGGGTTTCTAGCAGTCCAGATCTTTCACCTATTGAAACTTTGTGGCACGAGATGAAAAATTTTCTACGACAACATCCTGCTCATACAATCACCGAACTGAGACAAAAGCTTCAAGAAATATGGGATTGTTTTACACCAAATTTTTGCCAAAACTTGGTTAACACTATGCCCCAAAGAATTTCAGCCGTAATAAAAAATAAAGGTGATGTTACCCAATGGTAATCTTTCAATTGTTGCTTTGTTAACTTCGCAAATTTATTCGCACATGGTTTATTTGTTCAGATGTTCTATTAGTTATAGGTCTAAGTAGTTTAAAATATGTATTTTTTACGACTAGAGTGTATCTAAAATGTTTTTGAGAAAATAAATTGTTTTAGAAGTAAATAGTTTCGTGTTGTTTAGTTTATAAAGGCATATTTTGGTACAAATCTTGAAGTGAGCCAACTGAAGTGAAAAGGCGCTCCTAGTTTTTTCCATATTGCTACCACAGAGCCGGTTTTTGAAACTCACAGTTTTTTCGGGCTGCATCGGGCAGTAGCGCCCCCTACAATAATTTCATCAAAATCTCACCCGTATTTGACGTAAGGAAGACTTAATAATGAGAGTCATGCAAAATTTTATATCACTACATTGATATTTGTCTGTGAGTTTTTTCCTGTACCTTCTTCTACGATAAAGCATTTTCTTGCTAACAACCTGCTTAGATCAAGCGAAAATAGTTCACAGTAAAGCCTCAGGGATCCGGCTGCAATTTACTTCAATTAGATATCTATAGTTTCTGGATACTGAATCCAAAGTATAGTGGGGATACGAAAAATAGCTACTCACGGCATCCACAGTTACGTTGAAGCTTGAGAGCAAGATATGCTGTTTACCTTACTGTCTCATTAGAGTAGTTATGCTTTTAGCACTTGTAAATGGTCAACAGCAATTCGTTTGCTGAAGATACATCTCAAACGGCTTGATGGATAGGGCTAAGACTGACTAGCTTAGTCTTCGTCTTGAAAAATTATTGAAGCCTTGGTCTTGCTGACACAAATGTTGCCAGTGGATTAAAATAGTTCCATATCACTATTAACGGTTGATAATGGTGATAGAAGTGATATAGAATTCGTAGAGTTAGCATCAGTTGTAATTGGTCTACATTTTTTTACATTACTAAGTTAATTACTGCGAAAATCGGTTATATTCATTTTAACGGGACTGAGTAATAATAACTTCTGACTCAAATAAATATTATATGGCTCCATGTTTATAATTCAGAATAAGAGTTTTTGTATTTTGGTTAATAGTAGTATTACAACGTCGCAGGGTGTCACATTAACAGAGTATACGATAATGAGTGACAGCCTGACTCCAAAATAAAACATTTGAACCCAACATGCTCAGATAAAATATCGCTTCTCCTATTTACACGTTGTCAACTTTTTTATTGATTTTTGAAATTAGTTACAGGATGAATACTTATATGTATTCAGATAGTCATTTCAATGTCGCTTTGCCAACAAGGGAACATCATACCTAACTACCAAAGTGCTGTTAAATGTTTTTGGTAAAGAAACTGTCCAGCTGTAAAAGTTCTCTTTTGTTGTTGTCTGAACACCAAAATGATGGCTTAATGTTGCGTGGAATGCAAATTTCCGTTCTGCATATTTGCTCTAAAATGGGGTGTCTAAAACGTTCTTGTAGCATAGTTATACAACATCTTATAAGACAAATTTTGAACTGTTGCATAAACGTTTATTTATTTTATAAGGCATGTTTGCGTGTTAGTCAAAATAGTTGTCGCAGCCATGGTAACACTTATGCAACAAACTCGAGCCTTGTTGTTTTAGTGTGCAAAAATGACTACTTTAGCCAACAAATTGCTCCCAACGGAAGCACTCATACAACTGTTACAGGCTGTACATTTACAACAATATCACAACTTTTACACATCTTCACCATAACCTAAGTTTCTTTTTAGGTTATATGCCATGATAATTATTTTTTTTGTTCAAGACGGGCATATAATGTAGATCTGGTACAAATTCTGAGTAAAACATTTGACTCTGCTCATATTACATTTCAGAGACTTGCTAAATTGCTGTATAACACCTGCGGATAACACCAAAATGTTCTCATAAACCAAGGATAATAATATGGAGGATGCAATGATTAGATATATATGTCTAACCACCCGCCATATTGGGCAAATAAATATAAAAATGTGGAACATTTAAAGCAGATAAGTTCAGATTTCCGTCTTAAAAATCCGGTACATATAGCATATGTATGAATTCACATTGATCGATATGTCAGTAAACAAGATAAATGTAATGTGTTAGTCTAAAAATACTGTTCACTTCGCCTACACAATACATAAAAAATTGCTTAGATGCAATAAAGTAGAATCATGAATCAGAATGGTTGTTGTATAGCTGACAAAAGTTGAACCTTGCACTGATGCAAATGTTTTATAGCGGCTGCAAGGGGTTTACACTTTTGTAGAAAAACTGTTACTGAAGCCCTTATACAACCTCTTAGGTGACTGAAGTATCCTATTAGATGTGCCCATTCCGCTCGTATAGCTACTCTAAGAGCGTTTTACCAATGCTCTTACAACATACAATGCTGTGCGAGGAATACTGTATAGTCATTCTTGCAACCCTTATAGGGGTAATAATTGTTAGTTGGAATGTTTTATGCAAAACCTTTGCTTGTGATCAGCCCTCCTATATATGCGAGAGAAAATATGTTCAAAATATTTAATTACCATCAGAGTCGCTGTTAGACTCATAATTTCTGGTTTCGAGAAGGATGCAATATTTCTATTAAATTAATTTTGTTTAATAGGGGTTTGTACTTATATTACGAGAGAGTATATTTACCATACCGCTGAGACTTCAGAATATCCACATAGAAAATGTTGGTTCTCAAATTGCTCTGCAATGAAAGATAACAGACAGTTAAAATTTTTGCATTCAAAATTCAATGTATAATAAATATATGTATACCCTTTGTGTGAGTCTTCTATCTATAGAAAATGAGTCGCAGTCGACTTGCTTGAAAATTTAGCAAGATACATTTCTTGTCCTCCACAACAAAAGTGTCCACACAATGACTAGTTTCCGAGAAATAGGTTGATAAAGTTTTCAATTTTCAAGACTGGTGACTGTGCCGGTTGTTATTCTTAGGCCAAAAACTCTGAGAATCAGTACTCTAAAAGAAATATTTCGTTAAGGATTCCCTTTGTAGGTTTACTATACCCATACACCATACAAAGTCTTTTGTAGATAGTGCTTTGATTCGTCGATGAAAACGACTTTTCAAGTCAAGATTCCAAGCTTTTTTACAAGATGGGTAGTACGTGAGTTATTCAAAAACTGCATGTACCAAATCTAGGAACGTTTACAAAATATATAATGCTCTTATT